ACAGACAGATGATTTCATGAACCGCATAGGTGATGTTGGTGTCAAGTCAGCTGCAGTAGTGCCTCCTGCTTGGGGTCCCCAGAGAGAGCAGAGTCACCTACCTTGGAGTTCAGGAGCTCACTGAGGCGAGGAGGCTGTTTGCAGAGCAGGTGGGGAGGAGCAYGTTTGCAGAGCTGATGAAGTCCAGTCCCCTGCAGATGTTTGCCACAAGGCATTTGTTGGATGGAGTCATTCTACAGGAGGTCAGCGGAGCTCCAAAGCTCAAATAACAGACATGTTCAGCTGGACAGAGATTAAGGGGAAAACGTATTGAAGGAAAATCCTGTAGCACAACAGTATTCATTTATCATCCTTAATGATGAGTCTGATTTGAATCAGCCACACCCAGGCCTGAAAAATCCACCAAAAAGGGGAGAGTTGAACCCTGAATCATTACAGCATTCACCCCCAATACCTTATGTACCCTCCCCTAAACCATCGGTTTCAACATTTGAATGCTAATACTACTAATAGCTCAATTGTTTTAYATTTTTTGAATGTTAGGTGTCTAACACTTTTCATGTGCTCAAAGTAAACCATGATGCTATGAAGTCATGGGAAATTTTTTTTTAATGTATACTTTAAAAAAAATAAGGAATTACATAGTTACATTGCTGATGTTTGGTTTTCGATCAGTTTGATCCTCACACATTTTGTTCTGTATGGTTTTAGAACCCATTCTTTAATGTATGTGTCCCCCTGACACACCTATTGATATTTTACATTGCTCCCTTGCATGGATCATTCTCATATTTGTTTCAAATTAGCAGCACCAATTTGAATGCTGGTTTTCTATTTTGAAATTCTCATCACCTACCTTATTTATTGGGACCTASAAGAAGCTTCAGTCATGTATTTGGGATGATACTTTTGAAAAGCCACTCATCAAAGTCAAAACTTTGGTGTGTGTTTCTTGTGTATTTCTGCTGTATATCATAGTAAATTCAGTGTAGTGAGAAGTTGTGTAGATGAACATGACATGCCAATTTGTAATAATTTTGGTCAATATGATACTATTTATTCCAATGATTAGTTCCTATTGTAATTCCATCTCTCTACCTTTAGTAGATATTTCCCTTACTTTTAGACATCTCATAATTTTTTCTAAGTTTTTAGACCATATTAGATAATTCAGTAGTATGCATCTTTGAAGTTTTAAACTTGGTCCAACAGCCATGGTGGATATAAGCATAGAATCTGGAGACAGATTGAACCCAAGGGTTAACTTCCCATCCTACCAGGTCTCAGCCAAACCTCACCATGTGGTTTCATCTCTCTGTGCCTCAGTTTCCCATCTGTAAGTAAGAATGATGTTTACCCTCTACTCAGTTGTTGGAGGAAACATGGGTCCACACAGTTACACAGAACTGACGACAGTACTCACCTGCAAGGAGCTGGCTGGCCAGGAAAAGAGCCTGTGTCCACTGCCCTAGGTGCAGTCCCTTTGTCTGATATTGTGGATTTCAGCCTTGGTAATGGTGATGATAGCACCTCCTTTATTTAACATTTTCTCTGATCTCCCTCATTTCAACCAGGATTCCATGGGGCCATGGTTCTCTTGACAACTTTGGCCCTGTGTTGTGGAGAGCTCTGTTACTTTGTTCCATGCCAAGGACTATCCAAGGCTGGGACCTGAACTCAGTTCTCTAACTCAGAAGCTAAGCTGTACATGAGTTGATGACATTTCCCTGAAAAGGGCCAAAGTCCAAGACAGACAAGAACCTAATAACTTTCTGAAACTCGGCTCCACCTTCTCTTTTTTCTCATACTGAGATTTGCCTTCCTGCTTCCTTTTAATTGAACTTCACACCCTATTTCACATTTTTATACCTTTATTTGATTTATTTATTTTTATGTGGTGCTGAGGATAGAACCCAGTGCCTCACACATGCTAGGCAAGTGCTCGACCACTGAGCGCCAACCCCAGCCCCTATTTTCATGTTTTGATCCCTCTTCTGTTCTTCAGTTTGGGGTCTGCTCTTTGGTAGGGTTTGTTTTAAACTCCTTCTGTCATGTTATATAGTCTCTGAATTTATGATCCTTTGAGTGTTCGTGTGAAGGCACTCAGATTGTTCCATCACTGTTCCTCCTAACACATACACACACACACACACACACACACACACACACACACACCAGTAACAAATTTCTTTAGACTTCAGTGTTATTTCCTGGTCTTTACCACTCTGTCCTCCTTTCCTGTTAACCATTGTGGGTAATGTATTAGTAATGAATACTTCTGTAAAGATGAGGGCTTTTTTCTGAAAACTATTTTCAGCAAGATTGAACATTAATATTTAGTTTCCTGAACCAAAAAAAAATCCACTTCTCTGAAAAAAAATCAGGTGTGCTTAGTTTTCTCCTTTTGCCCTTGGTTTTCTGGCCAACTTATCACAACTGTTTTTAAAAATATTTTTAATTGTAGGTGGACATAGTACCTTTATTTTATTTATTGATTTTTATGTGGTGCTGAGGATCAAACCTAGTGCCTCACATGTGCTAGGCAAGTGCTGTACCGCTGAGCTACATCTCCGCCCTACACAACTCTAATAGAAAGTTTACATCTATTCTGTTTACATCTATTCATTTGCCTAGATTTTAGATTATAGCCATAACATAAAGCACGTTGTATAAAATTGTTAAAGTGTGAATTTTAATTAGACATCTTAGTAGTATTTTTGGAGAAATTATAAATACTTAAGAAATTGCTTAGAGACATAAAGCAGATTTTCTGATTATGCATGTGATATAAATTAATCTGATCTAATTGTTTTTGAAACTTATATATCAGAACAGCCCTCACCATTTCAAAATACTTCTMTTATGAATATATTCACTTTCATTTAGAAAACTTTTCTTAAATATTTTTTTAGTTTTTATTGCGTCACTTTATCATGTAACCTAATTTTTGATTATTATAAGATCGAGTATTGAAAGACACTTTTTTAAATTAATTTTTTGTTTTAATTAGAATTTGTTTTAATTAAAATTTGTTTTAATTTTGTTTTAATTAGTTATACATGAGAGTAKAATGCATTTATGTACTTTGATATATCATACATAGATGAGATATTATTTCTCATTTTTTTGAGTGTACATGTTGTAGAATCATATTGGTCATATAGTCACATATAAACATACATAAAGTAATAATGTCTGTTTCATTCTACTATCTTTCCTATCCTCCCCTGCCCTCCCCTCCCCTTCCCTCCYCTCCCCTCCCCTCCCCTCCCCTCCCCTCCCTTCACTTCCCTCTGCCTAATCTAAGGTAACACTCTTCTTCTCTAGTTTCCCCCCACCAGCACCTTATTGTGAATTAGCATCCACATAATAGAGAAAATACATGTCCTTTGGTTTTGTGGGATTGGCTTATTTTGCTTAGCATGATATTCTCCAACTCCRTCCATTTACTGGTAAATGCCATAATTTCTCTCTTCTTAAAAGCTGGGTAAGATTCCACTGAGTATATATACCACATTTTCTGTATCCGTTCTTCTCTTGAAGGCACCTACATTGATTCCATAGTTTGGCCATTGTGAATTGAGCTGCTATAAACATTGACGTGGCTGCGTTACTGTAGTATGCTGATCTGCTGGTGGGACTGCAAATTGGTGCAACCACTATGGAAAGCAGCCTGGAAAACTTGGAATGGAACCACCATTTGACCCAGCTATCCCACTCCTCGGTTTATTCCCAAAGGACTGAAAGTAACCTTTAAAAGAGATTGAGGAGGACTTAGGATATAGCTAAGCGGTAGAGTGTGTGCCCAGCCTTTCCTTAGCCTCTTTTAATGGTTACTTTCTCAACTCGACGTGTGTTTTGTGTATGTGTGGATATGTATATTGCCTAATGTGAGACAGGATAAAATAAGCTCTGAGGCGTGCTCAAGAAGTCAGAGTTGTGGAGTGGGATTCATAACTAGAATCTAATTCCACTTAGAGGGTTGTGGTACCAAGGGTCACATTTAGACACTGGCTGTAATCTGAGGATATTCTGATTCATAGTGCCGGAAAGCATGTGTGCTGATACTGATCACAGGTGTCAGCTGTTGGAGCAGTAAATCACTGTCACATTGTATTGGTCCAAAAGGTGGTATTTTCATTATATATATGTATCAATTAAACTTTAGAGGTTAAAAATGTTGAGAACCAGATAAAAATAATCACATAAACGATCTAAAAAGAGCTTAGGAAGCAAACTAAAAAATGAGATTCCGTTTGGCAATCATCAAACTGATGTTAGTAGCTGGTGTAAAGCCCTCTCTGAAAAGCTGAGTCTGCCCATAGTTCCGTTTCCTTGCAGTTGAGGTGACGTCCCCCATGTCTACACACCTACCTTTCACCACAGGCATTTGTCCCTACACAGCTCTACTTGAGAAAGAAGCCTGCAAACATCTGTAGCAGTTACTTGACAGAAACTAGCGCAGCCCTGCGCAGCACTGCACATAGTGCTTACGGAAAAGCAAGCCTACCTTTCCCCCCAGCACCCCACTCACACATCCTCCTCTTTTCCTTATTTTCCTCTCTTCGGGAAAATTAATTCATTTCTGAATGTGTCCCAAGCCCTTAATGATACTAATGCAAGGTGACCTGAGTGACCTCGTCCCGAATGACCTCAATTCAGCAGTGAGGCCGTAGCTGTCCTTCCTCACAGTGTTCCCTAGACTTCTGCTTAGCTCACATTTCAGTTGGATGCTCCTACCCTTGGATGTGGGTTAGCAATAGACAGGTGACAGGTGGATCCCTGCCCTGTTCCTGTAGGGTGTGTTTCTGAAGTAGCATGCTGATTACATTTGACTGGATAATATTGAATATGTGGTTCAGATATGACAGATTAACTATTTTTATTCTTTCGAACCCCTATTTTTTATGTGTGTAATGTTCCCCCCTGCCTAGACCTGGTTAACCGTTTCTGTGAGCAGGTCCTCAATTTTTTACTTTGTCCCTACTTTCCTGTCCTAGCCCCATCCTCCCCCGGTGTCGACTCCGTCCCCTTGCAGCGCACAGGCAGTCAGCACGGGCCACAGAGTGCCACAGCAGCCACCTTCCAGAGGGCCAGCTACGCCGCAGGCCCAGCCGCCAACTACGCAGACCCCTACCGACAGCTGCAGTATTGTCCCTCTGTTGAGTCTCCTTACAGCAAATCCGGCCCTGCCCTCCCGCCCGAAGGCACCTTGGCCAGGTCCCCGTCCATCGACAGCATTCAGAAAGACCCCAGGTGGGTAAAACCCTTTTTCTCATACCTGTGATGTCGGAAACGGTTTTATAACTGGGTGTTGATTCAACCGTGTTATAATATTTTTACGTCACTTCGGCATTAATGTCACTGGCTCTAAGTATGAGACAGTTGGCTTTACTTGGATTTTGTACTTTATTTATTATGGAACATGGGAATTTACAGTGGATTCCTAGTACATTGTGATTCCATATCATGAAATGATGGTCGATCTTTGAGCTGTGTGCAGTGGTGCACCCATGTAGTCCCATCGACTCGAGTGGCTGAGGCAGGAGGATCACTTGAGCCCAGGAGTTTGAGACCAGTCTGGGCAATGTAGCAAGACCCTATCTCAAAACAAAACACAAATGGAGATCTCTTGACAGGAACAGCTTTAGGGGCTTGAGGTTTCAGCCATTTGATGATCAACAGAAGCTCCTGGTGATGCAGTAGAAACGGAGGCTTGGAGATCAAAGGTTGTGTCACTTGGCTTCCAGTGCTGTGGTCTAAGAGGTATGCTTTTGTCTCTGTGGAAGCATCCTTTGTCACCTTTTGTCTTTCCACTTATCACTGTGTCAAGACAGCTCCCCCCAAGTTATTGTAAAAATTATAAATTTGGAAATTCCCTATGAACGTCATTGGTCTATGAGAATAAATGCTAGGATGAACTAATTTGGGGATTAACAAATTTGGAACACAGTATATTAAAGAAATTGTTATGAAGTGTGTCTCTTTTTTACTTTGTTTTTTCCAACAGTGGCAAAGGATTTAGTGATGCTTTACTTTTGAGGTTCCAATTGACTCCCTGTAGAGTTAAATGATGTTTTATTCATAGCCATTGGCTTTATGCAGATAGAGTCTCATAAATACATATCTGCATCTGCAAGAACTACAGAAATATCAAATTTCTGGAATATCTTTATGGAAGGGCATGTAGCTTGACTCTGGTGGGAAACTTAAATTTTGTCTTAAGGAATTTTTACGTACAGTGAACACAGATTTCTGTGTACTAAATTGAGAAGTTTGCGTACATTCCTTAGCAAGAAGAAATCAATTTTACAAACATAAAAAGCAGAATGTTATCGTTTATGTATTCTCTGAGATAGATACTTTAGATCAAACCCACTTATAGTATCCTTGCTAAATACCATACTTGGTCTAACCTCCATTGTAAAATTCAATTGTAATAAATGCTTACTTTTAAGGACTACAAACCAGAAATATACTTGCATCGACAATGCTCACTGTCCTGGTTTTCTAGATTTTCAGTGTCAGTATCGGTCTCTGTAGTCTTGGTCCTGAAATCTGCCCTAAATGTTTAAGTATTCTTAATTATGTTTCATTAGAATATTCTTTGGAAAATACTTCTGCACTCTCTATTTTCACATAATTTTTTCTCAATATGCAACAGAAACTATGTGGAAATAAAACAATAGTAAGCCATTAAGAAGTCTGAAACAGAAAAAATATATTCTTGAATTGGCTGGCTTGTATTTAACATTGTATATTTCAATGGAGAATAAACATTTTATCTCTAATTAAAAAGCTTTACATTTTCATATTAAGAAAATTTGGATTATGAGAGAAAAAAAATTTTATTTCTCTAGCTGCAAGTTTGCGTCTGTGTTTTATACTGTGTATTAAATGCATTTTATTTTATTAAATGGCATATCCTTTTTATTTTATATTACTGTCACTTTTATAGGCTTTTTTCTTCTTTCTCTGTATTGGCATGGCTCTTACCTTTTCGAGTTATGGATTATGTCACTTATATTTATCGAGTGCCTACTATAAACCAGAAACAGTAACACCAACAAGAAATGTTAGAGTGAATCTGAGAATCTTTTGTGTGTGTTAAGTTTATATGCAAATCAGTGCTTCAGGCATTACAAGTTCAACATTATTTTTAAGAATGCTAAATGTTGGCCTTAAAAATGTATGAATTCTGAAAAACACATACCACCATCCTAAGCTTAGGCATTCAGACAAAATAGAGCCACATCTGGAGCTGCAATTGGATTGTTGTGGCTCAATATAGAAGTGAATAAATCTGACTTTATACAAAATGGAGCATAAAGTACAATAATGTCTTGTAGTTTTGAATTTTTTTTTTTAAACAAAGGAACATGTCAAAATTTTCTTAGTGGAAACACATGCCAAATCTAATGTTCAAATCTGAAGTGTAATTCTTCTTTTAATAAAATTGTTGTGCTTTTTCCTTTAAAATGAATTTTTATTCTTCATAAGGAAATATTGCCTTAACTTCTAAGACTTGAAATTATTTACCTTTACTTACTTTGCATGATGACTTATGATTTACATTTTTTCAGCCTTTTGACTTTTTTCACACATTTATACATACATGTACCTGGGAGAATGTTAGAAGGTTGACATGTCACTAAACACCAAGCCACGTAAGCCTCTTTACCATTACGAACATAGGTTTCTAACAGTCTGTTTTCTTACCTCTTTGAGGTACTCCTCCTTTGTGTCCCCCATGTTGTCCCTTGAATAAGAGGGGTGATGTGACTTTGGGGTGGTCACCTTGAAGCTGGGGGGCACACGGGCCAGTGGCTCCGCTCCGAAGCCTGTGTTGGCATGAGTGTTTTGTTTCTTTACCAAAACTAAAAGGGAAAGGGAAACGCTATATTAAGGTCTGTTGTGATTTTCCGAGGAGGGATGAATGGCAGAGCCCGGTGTGTGGGTGAGAAGCTGGGAAGAGTGAGCAGCACTAACGCCTCCCTAGATGCGTGTCTCTGCTGGGTTGTTTAGTTCTTTTCCAGTGCATGGCTTGTCTATCTTATTAAAGACCAGAATCTTTTCTCTATTAAGGGGCTATAATGTTATTCAGGCAGAAGTTTTCAAGTAAATTTGGCATTTTAAAATAAGAATTTGGAGTTAGGAGAGCCTCTGTTCATTCGTTGGACTTTAAGCCAAAGACAACCTGTCAGCTTTGAGTTAGTCTGAGTCACAGGATGGAAAGATTGTTGCAAGGTTGGATTTTTTTTGTTGATGGTTGGCTCATGAGGATTTGAGGCAGAACTTTGGTCTTTTGTGCTTTTAATTGTCCTATCATACACACCAACAAAGAGGGCACAGAAATATTTTACCAAAGGGGTGGTAAAATCCAGCTTCTCTTTTAAAGTTGGCAATCACTGGGAAAATAGTTTTTTATACATGTAAAATTAACTTTACAGGTGTGTTTTGTTTTTAAGAAGCCTTTATTTTGTAATGGCATGCCATCTTGCATCAAACATGACTTTCCTAAGGACTGTTAACATAGCGAATTCGTTTTTGGATGTGTGCCCAATATCGAGTCCTATTTGTTCCTATTTCTGAACATGTGAGTCAAATACAAATTCTGAGTTAAATTATATGGAAGAGGTATCAGTGACGTGAGTCATAATAGCATTCTTATTTTGAAATTCTAATTAATGAAGTAACTAGAACAACATAAAGCAAGACTGATATTCAAAGATACTTTGGATGTAATAACTGTTCTTGTCTACAAAAGAAGAGAAGTGCTGGCCAAGACAGTTCACCAATATAATGCATAAATTATAGCAATCACAGCATACTTTTATTATGTTTGATAAATCCCTTTTCAGGGTGATGGATGTACACTATCTCAAAAGCAATTTTCAAACATACCACAAGAAATCTCAATTGATGCAAATGTGATTTACAATAAAACTTTTCTTTTTGTTATTCATCATAACAGAAAAAATGCATACAATGGCATATTTTTAATACAGCTATTGGACCCAAATTAGCAACTGCATTTTCAATTGGCTTTTCAAATTTATTCTCCATGGAGTTGTTTCAGCCACAGAGTTGATCCATAATATAAAAGAAGGAACTTCTAAAGAATTATATGTATATTCCTACTTTATTTCCTATTTTGAGGTATTACTGAAAGTTATTTTGACATTATATTATTGGATCTCAATTAATAATATCACTTCTAAATATTATATTATTATGTAAACCTCAGTAGGAAAAATGATTTTCAAATACTGGTTTATTTTATATTTTAACAGTTTACAGCTCACACACACCTAATAAGTAGTGAACTGAATGTTTAAGAAGCAAAATATGGTTTTTTTATATGCGTTTTCTTGAAAGTAAGATGACAATAATGTCTCTAACTGATAATGGGAACAATGACAATTAAAATTAATGAGTTTTACAGCCACTCTCAGGGTTAAACTTTTCATATTAACTAATTATGTTTCCAAAAATCCCTAGCACAGGACTTTTAATAATGCCTGTTTTACATAGGACAAAACTGAGACCCAGAGAGCTAGAAATGGAACCCAAACCTGACTAATTTTTAGCCCTGTGTTTCTAACTGCTGTGAGCATTGATGCCAATATCACCAACCAAACAGAATATCTTGTCTTTCCTCGTGTGTCTTCTGCAAAGCTATGAATCAATTATACTCACCTCAGGTTTTTGATTTTCTTTTCAACTTAAATGATGGGGCTTTATATCACTTCCTTGGAGGTGATTCCATTATTTGGTACTACAGAAATCGTTTTTTGGTTCCTCACATTTTTTTTTTTTACCAAGTGTAATTACTATCACTTTTGCTCCTTGTCCCTTGAAAACTTGAAAGGCATGCTGTGTGTCCCGCAAGGTTTCCTCCAGACGTGGCTGGCACCAGCCCAGAGAGAGAGCCCTGTGGCGATCGTTCCTTGCACCCCTCCCTCCAGGTATCTGTCACGGCAGTAAAGGTGACTTTTCTCTGGAAAGTTCTAGGACAGACTAGGCAGATACGGTAGCAGCCTGAACATGGCCTCGTGCTTTAAGGAGCTTTCACAGTTGTCCTGGAGAGAAAGTTTCCTCCAGAAGGACCCTCTGTGTTGAGTAACTCAGAGGAGTGCTGAGAGGCGCAGTGGAGAGGTGGAGGGTGTCCTGCAGCTGAGAGGGACAGAAGATTTACCTGGGAGAATAGGAGAAAGCTTTCCAGGCAGAGAGGACAGTCAGAAAGAAAGAGGGCT